CACACATGACATCGCACTGACTCAGGCCATCAGCGTGACTTTCGTCCCAGGTGTCTCTCCAGCAGGACGACACAGCAGGTTTAAGGAGATTTCTCATCTTCCCTTGCAAAGGGGAGAGCATTCCTTTCCCCCTTCCTCCACCTGAGCAACAAATACCTGAAACACACCCTGGCTCATCTGGAAGCGCTGCCTCTCCTCCACGAGCCACACAGGACATCTCTCCTGAGCCTGGACTCCGGCACCCCTCCAACTGCAACTGCTGCAATGGCAGCCTGCCTCCCCTCTCCCAAAGGGAGGACACAAAACGCTCAAGAGCAGACCAGTAAAGGCACACAGGAATGAATTCTGCATTTCGAGGAGAACCCAAGCACCAGTGCAGCACCGACCGTTGCTTGAGCACAGCTGCGGTGGTTTGACCTTGGCTAAACGGCAGGTACCCACCAAGTCCCTCTGTCACTTCCCCCCCTTTCCCCTTGTTTGTCTCAACAGGGCAACGAGGGGAAAGAAAATAAGATAGACCAAGCCTTGTGGGTAAAACCAAAGCAGTTTTAATAGAAGCAAAGCGAAGCAAAGGTCCGCGCGCGGAAGCAAAAAACCCAAACAGATTTATTCTCTCCTTGCCACGGAGAGGCGCTGCGGGTCCTTCTCAGGATCAGCTCCCATACGCGGAGTGGGTGCCTCGGAGGACCAAGGGTGACCCCCCCCCTTCCTCCTTTCTCCCAGCTTTTTTAGGAATAAGAATGCCCACCCCACAGAGCTTGAAGCGAGCCATTCGAGCACTCCTCGAAGACTCACTTGCTTCTCAAAGAAGGTTTTTTTCCCCCCAAATAAAACCCTGCTAACAGAACACTCTTCCCATTATGCGGCAGCACACGCTGACTAAATGAGTGATGCCCCGTGGACGCTGCAGACAAGATTACAAGGCAGCCCTGGTTCAAGGAAGGCTTTGTTCCAATCCCACCAAGCCCTGCACTGTGCCACCTGCATCAGCATCCCAGTAGCGTGACTGGGCGGGAGAGAGCAGATCGGACTAAACCGAGTCCAAACTCCAGTCCCCATAGTCAGCGGTTTAGAGACACGCCCAGACATTCGCTATGAGCCAGCACTAAGAAAATTCCCTCCTCTGTCAGCACCTTACCAGTCCTGGGACTCTTTAGGACAGTAACGCTTAGCGTTAAAGCCAACGCAGATGTCCCCATTACCCAGGGCAAGGTCTAATGCTTTCTTCAATCCTTTTAGACTCTTAGTTACAGTGAAAACACTCAAGAACAAAACCAACAAATAAACAAAGCAGAACAGAATCAATACCAAAACAATATTCTGCTCTCCATCAAAAGTTTGGGGTTGCTGTTGTGTCCCCTTTGACTCACACACTACGGAAACTTCTCCCCAAGAAATACTTCTGCACCACAAAAACACCTGTTCTCATCTCCAGCCGCTCCACTTGTGAGCAACAACAACTGTTTTCTCATCAGAAAAGCTCAATAACTGAAAACTCTGGGAAAGGGATCTTTATCCACTGCTTCAATCCCTTCCAGTGCTGTGTCTCTTTTTAAAAAGGAGTCAACGCCAGCTGCTGCGTTTGTGAGCAAGTAAATCCCAGTCTCACAGGAATTCCCAGTTGCTCTTCTGCACACTGCTGCCGAGCGCCGGGGAAGTGGTTGTCTTCACACCCAGCCGTTAGTGAGCAGCATCAGAAGAGACACCAACAAATGTGCAGAACAGAACTGACCAAGCTGACAGAGGGCTCAGAAGACAGACTGTCAACAACTGCTCCGACAGGCTGCCGAGGAAGGAACCTGCTAGATACTGCCATGCCAAAGACATACCTTCTACCGAGTAACTCTGGTTGGAAATGGAAGCCCAAATACCTCCAAAATTAAACTGGAAAAGCCACAAAACACTTTTTTTTCTCAAATCAACTCACTAAAAAAACTATCAGTAAAACCACTGTTACACCACTTCCCTTTACACAGGAAACTTCAGAGATCAACCCACAGAAAAAAAAAAAACCAAACAAACAAACAAAAAACCACCAAAACCAAACACAAACCACAACACAAGACATGCCAACCTCAGATGGGAAGAAAAGAAGTCTCTCAAGTCTGCTCCACCTAAGATTCTTGGTCAAAGAGGCATCGGGAAGGCTACAGATTGATGGAGACACAACTTCACACCTACTAGTCACAGTAAGAAAAAAAAATAAGAGGCAACAGTCAGACAGTCCAACAGCACGAGGTGGATGAGGGTCCGTATCTACCGCACGTGCCCTCTCTTAGTGAAAGGATTCAGCCTCCACATACTGCAAATGAGCCAAGAGAGTTTACGGTTCCTTACTGGGGGAAGAGAGAACAACAGAGCTCGTATATTTGCCATTTGCCCCAGTTGTAAGTCTCCAAAGATAAACACGATTTGCCATCAATGTGAAGGGTGAAACAGGGCTGGCCAGGTGAGTAGGAAAGAAGGAATTCCAGCAGGGACAACAAGACAAGGTGATGCCTGCAAAAAACTGGTGGGCATTTGTGTCTAAGGACAAAAGAGGAGAAATAAAGGAAACAGCTTGGAAAAACATTAAAAATTAAGAAGCATATGACAGATTACAAAACATACAAAGAAAAATAAACAGGTAGCAGGAAAACTTTCATGTATAATTGTAGACAGTTTTGTATCATAACCACGTTTTGCTCAAAAGATACAGAGCAACAGATGTTGCTACAGGCAGAGCCGGCAGCCACCAGGGCACCCAGCAGCCAAGTTCACCAGGCAACATCGCCATCGCCTCGCCTTAGACATAGACAATATGAATTTGAAGGTTGTCAAGCAGTAGGATGGGATGGCTTTTTGGACCATGTCCTTTTAAGCTGTCCCAGAGATAACTCTACAAGTCAGAGTCATGTTGTCCGTGGTTATCAGTGGAAGTGGCGACATCAAAATGGCACTCGAGCTCACTTGAGCGAGTTCTGGTGCAAAGCCAACGAAACGTCTTGGGGATGCGATTGTAAAGGGAAGGCCCATGTGGGAGCTGGGAGCTGCACCCGTTGTGATTCTTACGGTGAAGCAACTGTGGTCGGAGGACCACTAGGCCCAGGGAGCACATTATATTTTGACCCACCAATTGACGACGAAACCTGGGAAGGCGCCTTTGCCAACGGAGCTTGGGCTTTAAAGGGACATGATTGGATTTGTGGCCAACCTGCTTATCGGAGGTTACTCCCAAATTGGTCAGGAATATGCTGTGTGGGATATATCAGACCCCTGTTCTTTTTACTATCACAGGATCAGGGAAAGGGGCTTGGGGTCAAAGTGTATGAAGATTTGGTTAGGGAAAAACGGTTCATGGACACTTCCCTCACTAAGGGGAGTGCGCAAAAACGGGGACAAGATGAATGGCCACCTGAAAGAATTCTAGAATATTACGGACCAGCCTCTTGGGATCCCAACGAAATAGTGGCGGGTGCTGGAGAACCCGTCTATAATTTGAATCAGATAATTCGGTTACAAGCTGTCTTAGAAATAATAACTAACCAAACAGCTACAGCTCTTGGCCTTCTGGCCGACCAATCCACTCCAATGAGGAGTGCAGGCTCTCAGCATCGTATGGTCTTAGATTGCCTGTTGGAAGAAGAAGGTGGAGTCTGTGGGAAATTAAATGAATCCAATTGTTGTTTGCAAATTAAGGATGATGGAAAGGGAGTAAAACAAATAACTCCAGAGATGAGAAAATTAGCTCACGTACCGATCCAAAGACGGAAGGGCTGGGACCTGGATCCATTTTCATGGCTGCCGGGGGGCCCTTGGATCAAACGTGTCCTTTTCTTTTTCCTATGTGCTGTCGCTAGCTTAGTGTTTATTCCTTGCTTCATTCCTTGCGGGATATATACAGTTGATTAGGCACGCAGTAACGGAAATGCAATTTGTAGTTACACCTGATGGGAGATCCTCAACTGATGAACGCAAACTAATGTCACTGACCACAGAAACGGTCCGGGAGCCGTGATTCCCCTGTAGGTCCAAGGGCTGAATGAAGTGCTGAGGCTTGGACAACTGGCCCAAGCCGGACTTGACCTATAGATGAATCCTGTATATTTTATAACCGATAACCCCTGTGCTAACAGGTATTACACCAAGTTATAACCACCCACCTGTGCTGAGGTAAAAAGTGCTGAAGTATGGAAATGCTGCAGCCTGAACAACAGGCCCCAAGCTGACGCTGCTACCGTAGCATGTGGTCATTAACAAAGTACGTAAACTCGCTGGTGAGAGATGCAGCTTAGACAAAATAGAATCAGTAGCGAGGAGAGAACGCATCCAACTTTCCTTTCTCGGCCTTGTTCAAGAACCCAAGGATCTGGCCTTGTTAGAAAGTCCCTTGGTTTCCCCCGCCCCGAGCCCTGGCCAGGCTTTGGGTGGAAACCAACAGGAGGATGAAACTAGAAATTTTCTGCTCCAAACAAAGGCGCCAGCTCTTCTGGCTTGTCGATCTCTGGTATATAAGGCCGGGCCCGTTGGCAGCGACTGCGGAGGCCTCGGCTCCGGGCCGAGGCACTGCGTAGGATTTCCCCCTGCCCAGGCCAGGCTCTGCAAACCCTCGCGGGAACCGGGGCTGCCCGCGGGGCTGAGGGAGGATAATATATGCAAATGGGGATGTATTCTTAATCTCCATTCTCTCTCTCATGTAGTAATGATTTGATGCATTACCCTGTATTTTCCCGTTTGCTGCTTTAAGTGCACTATTCTGCATTTTCTTACTGCACGTTTTCTGTAATACACTGTTATCACTAGTAAAATACTCCTGCTCTTTTCACTCTGGTGTCTGAGTTTAACTGGTAGCCCCAATCAGCAAAACAGGGGGGATCTCCTCAAGCATCCCCCATCCCTGACCTGCATCCCCAGGGGCCACGCCAGCATCCCCCTCAAACTCCCCTCGTAGTGCCCCTAAACTCCCTACAACACCCAAACCCGCCTTGGATCCCCCCTACAGCCCCCAACACCACCTTGTCTCTCTCCCCAGGCCAGCCACAGCCACAGCTCCATGATGCCTGGGGCCTCCTCCCCCGGGGATAAGGACCCCCACACCCCCAGCTCGGGGACCGAGCAGAGCTCCAGAGACTGGGTGACCACCGACATCGAGGTGAAGGTCCGTGACACCTACCCGGACAGTCAGGCGGTGGGACAGATCGGTGTCATCCACAGCATCATGGTGAGACCCTCCCAGCCCAGTTCAGGGGTGCTTTTGGAGCAGGGAGGGGGTAACACACATGGTGACGCTGATTCCCCCCCTCTTTTTTTATAGGGCGGGATGTGCGCTGTCTACCTGAAGGACAGCAAGAAGGTGGTGAGCATCTCCAGCGAGCACCTGGAGCCCATCACCCCCACCACGTACGACAAGGTAGGGCCAGCCCCCCAGCCCCGACCCCCCTTTATCCTGGGCCCTCACCAGTCCCCCCGCCAACCCCTGCTCCTTTGGGGACCTTCTAGATCCTCTTAGGTGCTACCCCAGCACCGCTGGGACCTCCCCACAAACCCTCTGGGACCCTGCCAGAACCCCTGGGACTCCCCACCAGCCCCCTCAAGGCCCACTCTCCCCCCATCTGCCCCCCCCTCAGGTCAAGGTGACCCTGGGGGTGGACCGTGAAGCCACCGGGATCCTGCTCCGCATTGACGGGGAGGACGGGATCGTCCTCATGGATTTAGACGACGATATCTCGATCTTCAGCCTCCGCCTCCTCGGCAAACTGATGTAAGACTGAAGGGAGCGCCCTGTGCCCCCAGTCCCTGCTGCCCCCTGTTCTCTTTGTGTCCCGCTGTTGTCTTTCTATACACACCCGTTTTCCCCCTGTTCAGTGTTCGTGGTTGGAACGAGGTTTAGTTGTCAATAAACGCCTGTGGGTGCCGCACCCCCTCTTGTGTGCTGCCTCCTGAGGGGGGCTGTGAAGCGCCGGGGGGGGGCGGTTGAACCAGGGC